TGTGTTTGGCTGATTGTTTCCCATAACTCCAGAAAACACATTTATGCCTCTGATCTACTATACTGCTGTTTTAAAGATACATGCATCTTCTCCATTCAAATAACAAATCCTAGGGCTCTAACTCATCATTGTACTCTGTCTGATCGAGTAGGCTTGCCTGCACTGCCCACTCATAGACTAAATCACTGACGTGTCCTTATTCATAAGTCAGTACTTGTGTGATGTTATTCATGGAAAATATGTCAGAAGCCTCAGTCTTTGCTGTGTGACCCAGTCACTGAACTTATTCTTGATATCGATCCCCAAAGTGTGTCTTGAAACGTGAAAAGGAGTTTCATGTTTACTGCTGGAAGATTTGTTTCTGGGGGAGCTGGTCTCTTTGAATCTGTTTAAAAGTAGATTCAAAGTTTTGGAGAAATATGCATCAGGTTATAATTTTAATAAGGACTTCCTTCCTTCTCGTGTTTGCAACTTCATACTGTAACTTTGTGCGTGTTTTTAGTCTGGAACTTTGTTAAATGTTTCCTGGTTAAATAAACTTAAACTAGAAATAAGTGTGCATTGTGATGTCACCTGTCACATGTGCTGCAGTTCTGATGTCCTCTTGTCTCCACGCAGGGTCAGAGAAACCTGAAACATCATCACAGTGTCATCAGCTCCTCTGCTCCTGCTTGCACACATTCTCACTGCTCGTGTGTGTGTGTGTGTGTGTGTGTGTTAACTCACCGATCTGCTTCTGCGCACTGTGTGGCTCACTCACAGGTTTAACCTTCAGAGAAACAGAGGATTAGATCAGACTCGCGCCTGCAGAGGAAATCCTGTCTCACCGGACCTCCGACCACATTCAGTCCCTGATCTGTTTCTAAATGTCACTCAGTGTTAAATTCACTTTAAACTCTGCAGAGTAGAGCTGTTACCATACCACAGTTATAAACTTTGATATGCTTCTAGTAGAGTTCAAATATAGATAACTGTTGGATGCCACAGCAACAAGAAAGAGGAGTTCTAGACACTTTTAATCCCCGAAAATTGCAGACAAACTCCTGCACACTGTCTATATTGCACAAAACATTGCCTGTGTTTTAGTTTCTATTTGTACAATTTAAACAGTGTGCAGAAGTTTGTCTGCAAATTTTGATGGATTCATTCCTCTCCTACCCCTGTCTTATGTAACTGATTTAGTTTTCTTGAAAGTTTATGTAGGCTACTTTGTGATACTATCAATCACTGAAATAGCAGATTGTATCGTTTTAAAACAGAAGTAATCAAGTATTGAACCTTCCACCCTCACAGCTCTCCATCAGCAAAGTGAAACTCACACCTTTAATCGCACTGCCCCCATAAAGACTGAGCAAGAACTATACAGAGGGGGAATTATTCAAATGAACATTATCTCTTCACAATCTTTCATAATTTCTCCCCTCACTGCTCTTTGTAACTGTCCACAGTGAGCTGCAGGCTGCATCAGTTCTTAAACTTTACTCAGACAGTCATGCAGAGAAAAGTGTTTTAAAGAGCAAAGAGTACAAAAACACAGTTTAATCCCAGTGTTTTTATCTCTGCTCTGTAAGGTGACCTTGAGAGTTTTAAAAGGCGTCTTTAAATAAAATGTATTATTATTATTATTAGTCCCGGAATAAAGCAAGACAAAAAGCTTATATGCCTATCAAAAACTAAAGAAATGTCAGAGATCAATACAAGGTGAATAAGAGAAAGAAATACGCAATTGGATTGACTTAGAGAAAAAAGACACTAAGTGCAGTTGGCAGTGCTCACCTGTCGGAGCTCCTTCAGCTCTCTCTGCAGCGTGTAGATCTGGAAAGCCTCGAAGCCGAGCGCGGCGAACACAAGCAGGAACAGCATCAGGACCAGCATGGCCGCGCCGGGACGCACACCCAGGCAGCCCCCGCTCCTCTCCTGGCTCCTCCGTCTCTCCTGAGGGGGTGGGAAGGACCAGCAGGGTACAAGGTTGGACTGATTGGCAGGATACTGCGAACCCCCTCCTCCGTCCACGAGGAATACCTGAGGGAAGGGGTAGTTCTGTTCATGGTGGGCCATGATGCTGCAGGGAGACACTGTGTGCACGTCTGATCAATTTGACTTCAATCAAAGACTAACTCTGCAGTACATGTATGCACCTCATGCAGGCCCCGCCCACAGGCACACAACACACTGAGGACATAGTTAGTTGTCATAGTGTCATCACAGGAACCCACAAACTGTCACCCCCCACACCCACCCACCCTGCTAGATGAAGTTAAACTTCATGAAACTTTAACATTCAGAACTGTTTGCACAGACAGATCTGCTGAAGAGGGGGAGGGCAGGAAGCTGGAGGTTTCAGCTGACCCCCCCATGACTAACCAGAAAGCCATTCAGACAAATTCCACGAAAGGAAACACTGAGCAACACGAAACTTAATTTACCTAAGCTTCACATGTAAACCAACAGGTTACATATGCTTTACACTGTGTGTGTGTGTGTGTGTTGGGGGGGGGGGGGGATCTGTATACCCTACAACTTGCTTTGTCTGTTGAGTCAGAAACGTTTCACATCTGCAGCCTCTCCTGAATCTGACTCGATCAATCAAGTAACTTTGGCTTTCAGAGACAACTGGTTTGAAGCAGTTTTTACATACAAACCAGAAACACAGAAATAATGAAAAACATGAAGCAAAAGAGCTCAAACATTTGAATCAGATATAAATTTTAATAAATAAACAAACTTCCAAAAGGGATGAGTCTGTACAGAAAGAAAAGAAAACCCTGCACAGCATTGAAATCTGACTGCACAGAGGATGAAGCGTTTCATTAAAGCAGTTTTAGTTTCACAAGCAGGTAAGATGCTGGCAAAAATACCTGCAGCTTTAAGGAGGATCTGTCTGTTGCAAAAATTATTCAGATTTCTTTGTTTCACTGTGATGATCTTTGACTAAACAGTTCAAACTCTGTGTCTCCGTGAGACCTGCAGGGAAAAGGAAAGTTTAATAAAAACAACAGTAAAGATCTCTAAATGCTTCTTTATCAACATGGTCTCTTCTATCTGGGATCCTCTGTGTGCGTGTGTACCGGTGCATCAGTGATGCAGCAGTTTGAGCTGTCAGCATACCCTAGGTGGGAAAAAGAAGCACATGAAACAAAAAAGACGTTTGCAGCTGAGATGATGGTACAGGGGAGAGGTGAGAAAAAACCTCCACATTCACCTCAGAGACCAGTTTACAGGAACACACACACGCAGAATTATCAGTATATGTCGCTGTGGTCTCTGCCATCCTGACTCGGAGACCAAACTGCATAAACTGCTCCTCACTGTGGTTTCAAGTTTCCACCAGACTTATCATAGTTTCTGTCGATTAATAAAGAATACATTTTAATATATTAGTCAGCTGTGGGTGTGTGTTTGTGTACGTGTTCAGCAGGCTGTCACACCATATTTTTTATTGTACTTGTCCACCAACAGTTTATGGTGAGAAATCAATAATTCTTTGTTTTATACAGTAATCTGTCAAGTCCTCTGAGATCCTCCGTAGCCACACAGACGCACATTCACAGGAATTTCGTCATTTTGCAGGAGCTTGTCTGTATTTTTTTAAATTTAACATTACCATGGTATCAAACAAGTATCTATATCGTTTAAAATTCTGGTATGGAGTCAACATTTTTTGTGCGACGCTCTCAGCTGCATCATGTTACACACCCTGTGTTTCGTTTTTGCATACCCCTGCAGAGCTGAAGGGAAACACTGTAAGACCCAGTACGCACACTTAACCAAGACTTAAAGGGTAACTCCGTCAAACAAACCAACCAGTTTCCCAGAAGAGTCACACTGAAAGCCCAGCACACTGTGATGGAGGGTGGTGAGGTGTTGGGGTCTAACCAGGTCACCTTCAGAGCTCCAGTTAGTTCAACCTGAGAGGAGGCAGGAGGTGAAGAACTGAATCAGCAGGAATCTCTCTGCTGTGAAGAGCCGTGTGGTCATGATGACTGATTTCATTAACCTGCTCGATCATAATGATGAAACACACGCATGCGCGTGTGCGCACACGCACGCACGCGCACACGCACGCACCCACACACGCACCCACACAGGCACGCACACGCACACACACATGCACACACACACGCACACACACACACACCACACACGCACACACACACACACACACACGCACCCACACACGCACACACACACACGCACACACACCCACACGCACACACACACACACACACACACACACACGCACACGCACACCCACACGCACTGAGAGCTACAGATGTTTGAGAGGTAAACTGTATTAAACAGATACATAAAATGAGGGGCTGCAGAGTCGCTCTGATCAACAAACTTGCTTCTTCTTTTTCAATATATTAATCTTTTCTGGAAAATGTGAATCCCCTCAAACAATAAATCCCAATGTTATCATGATACAAGCTATATGTGTGTCCACAATCTGTGTGCGGATAGGATCCTCAATTTGTTATCGATACTAATACCATTATCAAGACTCCATAATCAGAACCATTCTCAATACCACAAGTAATACTTATCTATTATTTCTTCTTCTGTGATATCTTCAATATTTAGGTTGAAAGACCTAAATATTGAATATTGAGACGAGCAGGAAGTTAAAGAGTTCTTCATTACATCGGTAATATATTTTTTTAATGATCTGAGAAAACACACACATGTATACTAATAAACACAAAATGTTTTTCGCCAGATCCTAAATTTTCTTTAACCTCACGTTACATTTCAACAAAAGGTTTTGTTCCCATCCCAACTTTAAGACCCTGACACGAAGACGTCATGATTCACAATTCTTTTGTAAAAGGAGAAGCTAAACAATCTTTAAAGGCCTCTTAAATATTAGAAACATGTGGGCTGATGTCTTCTTTTGTTGACAGTCTCTGTTTACTTTGATGCTAAAGCTGCCCTCTTGGCCGGTCACCCTCGTGAAAGAGATTTTGGTCTCAATAAGTTAATTAAGTGGTTAAATGAAATAAATAAAAAAAAGTTTAATCAATTTTTTATCGTCTTATTTTTGCCTCTGCCACTAAGCAGAACTCACTAACAAATAACACAGAAAAATTGTTTTGTATTTCAAATGTAGAAATGTGTGTACCCTTCAGAAAAAAAAATTCACCTGCTCTCCTCCTCCTCCTCCTCAGAGGATGAAGAGTAACAGTCCAGTCCCAGGATGTGAGTCGTCCTGTCTGTGGTCTCAATGACCGAGGATTTCCCACAATTCCTCTGTGTCTCTGAGTCTCTGCTCCTACTGTTGGAGGAGGACGAGGAATTTACCAGGTTAGGGAGTCCAGCCTGCAGGACGCGGGTCAGACTGTGAGTGTGAGAGGAGGCGAGCTGTGAGGGAGGTCCTCTGAACGCAGCAGCAGACACACACAGCTTCATGTGGTCAAAGAGGAGGGGCTGGTCCTGATTCTGGTCCTCAGAGAGCCCTTCTGATGATCCTGAGAGAGGATTGGTCAGAAACGTGACGGCTCTGTCAGAGTCTGAGGGTCTGTTACAGTCTGGACCCTCCTCAGATCGTCTGTCAGTACTGACTCCTTCAGAGTCACTAAGACGAGGAGTTTTCACTGAATCGAGAAGGAGAAGGAGGAGGAGTTAACTGACTGGGTCTTATAGCAAATGTTCAACCAATCAAAAAAACCTTTCAGAAACATGTAAAGCAGACAATTCAGAGCTAACAGTTACCTGAGCTGGATGTGCCGGAGGGGTCAGCACGGCGTTTGTGGTATGCTCGGGGCGTCCACGGCGAGTGTTTACAGGTCGGGTCGAGTACTCGTAGTTTGGACATGAAGCTTTTATACTCTTTCTCTAAAGAGTCAATGTGCTGCTGGAACTGAGCGATCTTCCTCTCTGGGTAATGAGAGAGCTGGGACTGCTGTGAGAACACATACAACAACTTCAACAACAACAATAACAAAAACAGGTACAATGACAACAACAAATATAACAACAACAATAAAAAACCTCAAGAGAACAATACAAACACAACCTCAAGACACACAACAACGAGACAAACACAATCTTAGTCAGACAACAACAACAATACAGCAACAAGAAAAAACACAACCTCAGAACATACAACAATAAAACAAACGTTTTGAGTTTAAAGAGTGACCATGTTTACTGGTGACCCAGTCGAATGTGTCTGTGGTTGTCATAGTTACAACAGATGTTGGTGTCCTAAGGAAGTGTCTTTATTTTATAATAATGTCATGATACACTCATCGGATATGTCTTTAATGAAAAACTAAACAAAGAGGCATTAACAGTACTCGAAACATCATGGACTGTACGTGTTTCTGGAGGGAAGTCCAACCATGGTGTTCCATGTTGGAAATGCTGACCGTACCAAACATGTGGTCAACCTAACACCAGACAGAGAGGTGGAGCTAATCTGAGGCCTGAAATCTCCTGACACAGACAGATGTAAAATGTAAGTCACCAGTTAACATGGTCACACATTCAACCTAAACACCGGCACATGTTTATCATACAAGATCAATGTTAGCATCATTGAACGGCAGATAGTACTAGATCACTATACTGACCTGCAGTAAGGACTCGATCACTATACTGACCTGCAGATAGTACTAGATTACTATACTGACCTGCAGATAGTACTAAATCAATATACTGACCTGCAGATAGTACTAGATCACTTCACTGACCTGCAGATAGTACTAGATCACTTCACTAACCTGCAGATAGTACTAGATCACTTCACTAACCTGAAGATAGTACTAGATCACTTCACTAACCTGAAGATAGTACTAGATCACTTCACTAACCTGCAGATAGTACTAGATCACTTCACTAACCTGAAGATAGTACTAGATCACTTCACTAACCTGAAGATAGTACTAGATCACTTCACTAACCTGAAGATAGTACTAGATCACTTCACTAACCTGCAGATAGTACTAGATCACTTCACTAACCTGAAGATAGTACTAGATCACTTCACTAACCTGCAGATAGTACTAGATCACTTCACTAACCTGAAGATAGTACTAGATCACTTCACTAACCTGAAGATAGTACTAGATCACTTCACTAACCTGCAGATAGTACTAGATCACTTAACTGACCTGCAGATAGTACTAGATCACTATACTGACCTGCAGATAGTACTAGATCACTTCACTGACCTGCAGATAGTACTAGATCACTTCACTGACCTGCAGATAGTACTAGATCACTTCACTGACCTGCAGATAGTACTAGATCACTATACTGACCTGCAGATAGTACTAGATCACTTCACTGACCTGCAGATAGTACTAGATCACTTCACTGACCTGCAGATAGTACTAGATCACTATACTGACCTGCAGATAGTACTAGATCACTTCACTGACCTGCAGATAGTACTAGATCACTATACTGACCTGTAGATAGTAGTAAATCACTATACTGACCTGCAGATAGTACTAGATCACTATACTGACCTGCAGATAGTACTAGATCACTTCACTGACCTGCAGATAGTACTAGATCACTATACTGACCTGTAGATAGTAGTAAATCACTATACTGACCTGCAGATAGTACTAGATCACTTCACTGACCTGCAGATAGTACTAGATCACTTCACTGACCTGCAGATAGTACTAGATCACTTCACTGACCTGCAGATAGTACTAGATCACTATACTGACCTGTAGATAGTAGTAAATCACTATACTGACCTGCAGATAGTACTAGATCACTTCACTGACCTGCAGATAGTACTAGATCACTTCACTGACCTGCAGATAGTACTAGATCACTTCACTGACCTGCAGATAGTAGTAAATCACTATACTGACCTGCAGATAGTACTAGATCACTTCACTGACCTGCAGATAGTACTAGATCACTTCACTGACTTGCAGATAGTACTAGATCACTTCACTGACCTGCAGATAGTAGTAAATCACTTCACTGGCCTGCAGCAGGTTATAATTGATCACTGATCGATAGGTAATACTCGATCACTGGTCTGCAGCAGTTAATAATCGATCACTGGCCTGCTGGTAGTAGCCTACTTGATCACTGATCTACAGGTAATACTCGATCACTGGCCTGCAGGTAATACTCGATCACTGGTCTGCAGCAGGTAATAATCGATCACTGATCTGCAGGTAATACTCGATCACTGGCCTGCTGGTAGTAGCCTTCTTGATCACTGACCTGCAGATAATACTCGATCTCTGACTTGATGCTGGGGATCCACTTCTTCACAGAAGAGGCTGAATTCAGAGCGGACTGAGGAGACAGAATGTGTGAATGAATGAAGCTGCTCAGAGAGTAAATCGGATCTTATTGAATGATTTTAATCTTTACCAGCCGAGGTCTCCGCTCAGGAACTTCTCTGAGACGACCTTCTGTGAGGACAAAAACACAACATCAGGCTTTACTCTGAGCTGCATGGTATCTGTCAGCAAACACAAGAGAACATTCAGAGAAATAACTGGCCTGTTTACAGAGCATTTTGTGAGATTACCCAAACTGAGATGACTCTACCTCTGCAGGAGGAGCTACGTAGAGCTAGTTAGTGTGGCTAAAAGCCAAAGCTAGCTGTCCGCATAAGATATACAGACAGCATGTTCTCACCCTCTCTCTCTCTCTGCAGCCACAGTCTGTTAAGTCTGCCCTGCTGTTTCTCCGAGTTTCTCGCCATTTTCACGCCTCAGTCCGTCAGACAACCGGCTAAAGCTAAACAAAGTCACGTGATGACAACAAATCCTTTAGATTTCCGGTTGTTCGGCTTTCTTCTTCTGTGCATCTATCTTGTTGCATTACCGCCACCTAATGGGTTGTAGGAGTTTAACGTTAAATGTACGAGTCTATACAAAGTTCTCCCTTTCATTACCATCACCCATTCAGACACATTAGTCTGAGTCTAAGCTTCCTTAAGTGTTATGTATCATTCCTCTCCCATAACAACACACATACAGGCACTTTCTGAGAGCATCCAGAACCATTAATCTGCTTGGACTTTAACAGGCGCAGCTTTAACTTTTAAAACCAAGTCTACTACATCATGTATAAGAAATGTGTGTGGATCATGGCAGCATGCTTTAAAATAGAAATGTTTATCTTTACCTCAGTGAGAGTGGTTTAAAAAAAATACACGACATCTGCTCGCTTTGAACACGTTTTACTAAGTTTTTATTTCATTTTACCTCATCAAAGTAATGTTACTCCTCAGCTAAATTAAACCATATTTGAACAAATGTATGAATCTTTAAAAGTGTGAAGATAATCGTTAAATGAATTTCTGTCAGTATTCTGTATAAATAAATTGATTCGTTTTGAAATATTTTCATCATTTTGGGCCAAAATACTACAAATGAGTACAGAGATGTTTATTTAAAACAGAGGTTATTAAACTTAACCTGCAGTACATTAAACCCACAGGTTTCTGTTTCTATTTATTTGCAACATATTTAATTTAATTTATTGAGAAAGAAAATGTGTGACATCAGATTTTCTGTTGAAAAAGAAACAATGTCTGGGTGGAAAAGTGGTCTGGCGGGGAGGAAACCTGAAAAAAATCCTATTGTCTCAGCCTCTGTGGTTTCATGTTTCATGTCAGAGCTTCCTATTGGCTCATTTACTATACATGAGAGGAAACACAAAAGGAAATTAAATTTTCATCATCAGCAGATTGTGATACATCTCTGCAGGTTTGAGAACAGGGAGATAAAGGTGAGACTATCAGGTGTTTGTGGCCGTTTATTTATTAAAATCAGACACATCAGACATTACAAACTACATTAAAACATAACATAACAACACAAACAAACACACAAAGTGTAAATGAACTGCACTGAGAGTCTGCAGACATGTTAACAGAATGGAACAGAGCAGTCATGATATCGAATAATAATTCAGCTTTGATATTATTTTATTGAAAATCAATGTTGATACCAGGGTAGCTGTAGCTCAGTTGGTACAGACAGTAGTCTCTCAGCAAGAAGGTTGGGGATTCAATCCCCAGCTCCTGCAGCCACATGATGTGTCTTTGAGCAAGACACTGAACCTCAAGTAGCTCCCACTGCTTCATCGGCGGTGTATGCATGTGTATGAATGGGATTAGTTACTTCTGATGGTCTCTTTCTACATAGCAACCTCCCCCATCAGTGTGTGAATGGATAGGTGTGACATCAATGTGGTGGTTGGACATTTTTGTGTATTTTCCTGATTTGCTTTTGGTTTGGTGCTTGTGTTTTTTCTTTCAGAGGCTGGGTGTGGCTTATTGGCTGCTGGAGCTCTCTGCAATCACTCACCTGATCGTCATCTGTAATCACCGGCTGCAGCATTTATACCCTGGTTCACCTCTCCCAAACTGCCAAATTATTTCCACCTACACCGTGGTATAGCGGCTTTCAGAATCAGTAAGACTTTTTGTACTTTGAAATTACTTGTGACTTATTGTCCCTTGCCTCTTATTCAGGCCTCACCAGCCTTCACCAGCCTCACCTCAATAAATACCCCTTTTACCCACCACCCTGTTTCCCGGTCTTGCTTTTGGGTCCACTTAAAACATTTTTAAGGTCATAACAGAATAATCTGGCCACCATGGACTCAGCGGACCAAGACCCCCTTCACCAGGCCCTCTCCGGCCAAGGAGCCCTTATTGGAAGACATGACAATATGCTACAGGAAGTTATGGAATCTCTACAGAGTCTTCACAGGAACATCTCCCACATCAACTCTCGGCTCACACAGCTTTCAGTTTAAGATGCTACTCCTGGTACATCACCTTCAACCTTTGTGAGTAACCCTACTGCTACACCAATTCCTCAAGCTCCCTCCCCCACCCACCTCAAAGAACCATTTGTGCTCCCATCTGAACAGTATTCTGGTGATTTAGGTTCTTGTGGCCGCTTCCTTCTTCAGTGCTCTCTAGTGTTTGACCAACAGCCTTCTAGTTATCCTTCTGACAGATCTAGGATAGCTTATGTTATGAACTTGTTACGGGGTAAAGCGGGTCAGTGGGCTACAGCTTTGTGGGAGAATAAGTCACCAGTTGTAGAATCTTTTGCTTTATTCTTATTTGAGTTACGTAAAGTTTTTGATCATCCTGTTCAGGGTCAGGAGGCAGTTAAACGCCTGTTGTCTCTTCGTCAAGGTTCCCAGCCAGTAGCTACTTTTTATGTTGATTTTTGGATTTTAGCTTCAGAGAGTGGGTGGGAGTTATCACTTCTGGGAGTTTTTGTTAAAGGTCTGTCTGAGGAGCTTAAGGACGAATTAGCTTCCAGAGATGAACCTAATTCACTTGAGGATCTAATTTCTCTAGCTATTAAGATGGACAACAGGCTATACAGGGAGAGAGGTAGCCGACCCCGCAGGTTTGCTCCCACCCTGCACACTCAGGCTTCCCAGACTCCCAGTCCTCCCCCTTCTCCACCTACCAATCCTCTGGTGCCCCCTGCAGCTTCGGAGGAGCCCATGCAATTGGGAAGAGCCCGCCTGACTCCCAGTGAACGGCAACGATGCATGCACCTCAAGCTGTGCATTTACTGTGGCCAAGCTGGTCACTTCCTGGTTTCCTGTCCTTCCACGCCAAAAGGAGGGGCTCATCAGTAGGAGAGAGCGCACTGGTGAGCCGAACCTCCTCTACCCCCTGCTCTCCATTTCAGATCACCTTACCTGCCTCCATCCATTGGACTAATCACTCCCTCCCTGTCAGGGAAGTTAATTGACTCCGGAGCCGATGACAGTTTCATTCACGATGAGTTGGTGAGTCAAGCTGATATCCCGCCGTGACATTGGATTCTCCCAAAGTTGTTACTGCCTTGGATAGTCGTCTCATAGCCACAGTGTGTCTCATCGCATCTCACCTATATCCCTCATCATCTCTAGTAACCACCGTGAAAACGTACAACACTACGTGATTCATTCTCCAGTTTTTCCTGTGGTAGTTGGTCTCCCTTGGCTAAAGCTACACAATCCTCATATTGACTGGAAGACCTCTTCCATCTCCAGCGAGAGTGTTTTTTTGTCATTCACACTGTCTGCAGTCAGCCATCCCAGCTTCCCACAGTTTGACTCCCCCTCCCACTCCTCCTGATCTGTCCGCCGTTCCACCAGAATAACAGCAGTTCTCAGCAAGGACCTGGCCCTTTCCCTGCCCCCACATCGCCCTTACGACTGTGCCATTGATCTACTCCCTGGTGTCTCACTCCCTACCAGTCATCTGTACAACTTGGCCCATCCAGAGAGGGAGGCCATGGAAACATACATCAAGGACTTACTGGCTGCAGGTCTCATCCGCCCTTCCTCCTCTCCCCTCAGGGCAGGCTTTTTCTTTGTGGAAAAAAAAGACAAGTCTCTCCGCCCCTGCATTGATCATCGTGGACTCAATGATATTACGGTGAAGAATAAATATCCTTTGCCTCTTAACGACCCCTCCTTTGAGTCTCCTCTCAGCGCCTTTCCCAGGCTGAAAGGAATTATGATGTGGGGAATAGAGAGTTGCTGGCAGTGGTGTGGGCCCTAAAACAATGGAGGCACTGGTTGGAAGGATCAGCGATCCCTTTTTTGATCTGGACAGACCACAAAAACCTCTCGTACCTGCGTTCAGCCAAATGTCTTAAATCCTGTCAAGCCCGCTGGTCCCTATTCCACAGTATTTCAACTACACCCTCTCCTACCGGCCAGGTTCTCGGAATGTGAAGCCGGATGCCATCTCACGACTTCATTCGCCTGACACAAGCTCTAAAGAACTGGAACCCATTGTTGGAGCAGCCACATGGGATATTGAGGCGGTTGTGAGAGAGGCTCAAAAGACCCAGCCGGACCCTGGAACAGGACCCCCCAATTGCCTTTTTGTTTCCGACGCTGTCCTCCAGTGGGGACATTCCTCTAAACTCACATGTCATCCAGGTTCTAGCAGAACACTCCTCTTCCTGCAACAACACTTCTGGTGGCCGAGCATGGCTAAGGACACCCGGGAGTTTGTGGCCACCTGTCTGTGCCCGGGGTAAGGCCTAACACCGTCCCCCTGCTGGCCTGCTGTGTCCTTTGCCCATCCCTAGTCGCCCCTGGTCTCACATTGCTGTGGACTTTGTGACAGGATTGCTTCCTTCTGACAGTAAAACGATAATTCTTACTATTGTTGACCATTTTTCGAAGAGTGTTCATTTTGTGCCTTTACCCAAGTTGCCCTCAGCCCTCGAGACTGCTAATATTCTTGTTAACCATGTTTTCAATCACCATGGAATCCCAGTTGACATTGTCTCAGACTGTGGCCCCCAGTTCTCCTCCAGGGTTTGGAAGGCATTTTGCAACTCTCTGGGTGCAGCAGTCAGTCTCTCCTCAGGATTTCATCCCCAGACCAACGGCCAGACAGAGAGGGCGAACCAGGACCTGGAGGCAGCCCTCGGCTGTGTCACAGCACATCACCCTGCCTCCTGGAGTTTACATCTGCCCTGGATTGAATATGCCCACAACTCCCTCACCTGCTCGGCCACAGGTATGTCACCTTTCATGGCAGCTAATGGTTTCCAACCCCCTTTATTCCCTACCCAGAAGAAGGAGGTCACAGTTCCTTCTGTGCAAGAACATTTGAGGCAGATCAGAGATATCTGGAGACATGTCAGGGCCGCTCTTAAAGTTGCTCCTCGCAACGGAACCAACGTCTGGCGGATATGCATCGTTCACCTGCTCCAGAGTATCGCCCTGGTCAGCGAGTGTGGCTCTCCTTCTGAGACTTTCCCCTTCAGATCGAGTCACGTAAGCTAG